AGCAGCATTTTGCCACTCTTTTAGGGGTGGCAAAAGGGAGGATTGGGAATGTGGCGTGCGGTTGCTGTGGCCCCAATCTCTGGCTACCAGGGGCAGCCCAGAGCCACTTGTGTGCATAGCCCCTGAGTTAGGTTTAGAGTAGAGTGTGAGTGAGAGCCAGTGTAGTGTAGTGGTTTGAGTGTTAGATAATGACTCTGTAGATCAGGGTTCAAATCCCTGTTTGGCCATGGAAACCCACTGGGTGACTTGGGCAAGTCATTCACTCTCAGCCCCAGAAAACTCCATGATAGGTTTGCCTTAGGGTTACCTTGTTACAAATGACTTGAAGGCACACAACAACAGCAACAAAATGGGAGTTAAATATTTGTTAAATGAATAAATTTATTTATCTATTTTGTTATGCTTAACTTCTGTTAATAAAGTATTGTTTTTGTCTATCACATGCTTTTGACCTCTGGGTACATTATGTACATTAAGACTGAGTTCAGACATGATGTCTGTGGTAGCAACAGGGAATAGAAAGAGTTGGTGTTCAGTGGGGATAGACATTGTACATGTAATATCCTGCTGAAGAACTTTGAGGGCATTTTGCAGGTCTCCACAGTTGGTGCTTACAGCAATGGGACAGAAGGGGGTCCTTACATTGGTGGCAGAGGTGGGGATAAGGGGAAACCCTCATGCTTGGTGGTAGCAATGAGACTGTGCAAGTCTTTGCATATGGAGGCAGAAGAGATTTAGGCAAAACTTTATATCTAGTAAGAAAATTGTTGGAATAAGAGGCACAAGTCTCATACAGACCACCTCTAAGAATGTTTCTTGAAGACCTGTCTGAGGTTAATTCTACACTGCAGAATTAATGCCGTTTGACACCACTTTAACTGCCATGGTTCAATGCTATGGAATTCTAGTTGTATTTTTATGAGATATTTAGCCTTTTCTGTCAGAGGGCTCTGGTGCCACAACCAACTATATATCCCAGGATTCCACAGGAGGACCCATAACAGTTAAAGTGATGTCAAATTGCAGTAATTTTGCCATGTGAAAGCAGCTTGGTATACAGAATATAAAGAAACCATTAATTCTGGTCAGTACTAAAAGATCATGAACAGAAACTTCAGTACATGGGATCCAAGTTTTATAGAAATGTATTGCTCCCCCTCTGGCACCCCAAATAAAGCTGGAAAGGTAATTAAAAAAGTGTGGTGTCTGCTCTCCATCTTGTCAAGGGAAATTACTCAGCTGTTTATTATCAGTGCATCCTTCCAGCCACCTGTGTTTCTTTTTTAAATCCCAGAATGTCACAAAAGAGGCAGCTATAACAATGAAAACCATCTTATTTATGGCTCCAACAAACTAAAGCAATGCCTGGGTGATAAACAGCAGAGTGTCAACTTGTGGGAGCTTCTAGAAGATTTCTCTGGGGAGTCATATTCTTAGCAGCCTTATTTAGCATGTTCAGTAATGATCAGGGAGAAAGGGGTAAACAACATGTTAATGAGATTCACAACTAATCCTACATTGGGAGGTGATGCCAGATAGAGGTATAATACAAAATGGACGTTGGAATGGGGTGGGGGCAAATGCATTTAGATAGGAAACGCAAATGAGCTTTGAGACAGAAGAAATAATTACCCAAAATGGTAAATTTGGAATAATCTGGTTTCAGAGCACATTCAGTTCTTAAGATTTAAGATCAATTTGTTTCCTTAACATATTGATTTTGGAACTTTGGTGAAAGGGAACTTAAGTACTCCCTGAAGCCTTACCAGGAATGTGGTTCCACAACTGAAACTGGTGATAAAGATTGCCCTGGTGTAAGGTTCTAGGAGTACCGTGACTGGGGCTCGAATTGTCCAGAAACCAGCACATTATTCTCTTTACCCTCTATGAAATACAAGTCTGACAGAGGTCTAATCTGCATTTCAGAAATAATGCAGTTTGATACTGCTTAAATTGTCATAGCTCAATGCTATGGAATCCCAGGATTCTTCCCCCCCCCCCCCCCCCCGGAGATATTCTCTGTCAGAGAGCTCTGGTGCCTCAACAAACTACAAACCCCAAGATTCCATAGGATGGAGCCATTACAGTTAAAGAAGTATCAAACTGCATTATTTCTGCAGTGAAGATTAGCCCAGAATGAAGCCAAGCTCTCATTGGAACCTGAGGAAATGCAAAGGTGATAAGAAGATGATAGAGAAGGAAGACAAAAGAAAGCAGCATGAGAGAGCTTTTCCATTGCACAGTTGTAAACAATCAATAGTTCTTTGGATTGTGAGATAGAATTCTACTTGGGTACTATCTAGCAGCCATTGCACTGCTTTGCAAAAGTATTGCATAAGGAAGTACTGGATACCTCCTTATTCAATCCTGGGGAAAAGACAGTGATACATTCAAGTCTTCTACTTCAAGTCTCAAGTCAAGTTTCAAGCCTTTACCTTCAAGTGCCAAATTGGGTCTTAAGTCCTTGCAAGTTTATTTCAAGTCAAGTCCTAAACTGAATCCCAAGTTTGGGAGTCAGTTTTTAATGCAAAAAAAGGAGATGGGCTGCATTTCTCACAGGATAATGGCAAACATGTTAGGCAATGGGTTTGAGGTCCAGGTTGAGGTCTGCTTGGCAGCATGTCCCTGCTGTACATCAGAGGAGCCATCTCAAGCTTTTCCAAAAGTTTAGAAGGATCTTTTCTCCTCCCCTGCCTAATGCATTTGATGTCCCCCTCCAAGAAACTCACCTTGGGATCTGGTGTTGGGTCTTGTTTGCTTCTTGAAGTGACTGATGTCAGCAAGTAATTTGCTAAAAATAACTTTGAGTTGAGTCAAGTTAGTTCATCATTTATTGCTGAGTCAAATTCAAATCAAGTCACTAAAGCAACTTGTGTCTGACTTGAGTCCAAATCAATTGACTTGAGTCTACCTCATTGGAAAAAGAGATTAGCAAACATAACTTCTGGTTGCACTGACACAAGCGTGGGAAGCTGATGGGCTTGTGAGGCTGCGTTAGCCTCCCAAGGAACCCTGTAGGGTTGAACTCCCCCAGCCATGCCCCCACTGCATGGGTGGGCAACTGTGGAAAACTAAAGAGTGAATTAGCCCCTCAGGAGACCTTGGAAGTATACATGCCCTCCACCATTGCACACAGTATTGCAAGGAGGAAAAATAAAAAATTAAAAACATTTCCCTGTCAAGTACCCCAAAATACATTCTAGGGGACATGGTGACATTCATTCTAGTGAAAAGATAAGTTATAAAACAAAAACAAAAAAATTATCTTACCTGCAAAAATTTTTGTGGTGAGTTAGAATTCTGGTCCTGGAGCTTTTCCCGGTGTTCCTCCATTACCTGGGCACTCCAATTGCAATATGGGATGGCTGTTCGCATGTGCCTCCCACTGTGCTGCCTGGCACTGCTGACATTAGTGAGAGTCAATTGATCTGATATCAGAATGAGGCACATGGATGGGCACCTTTTTTCTGACCTCAGAGCAAATGACTCTCAGCAGCTGTGACAGTTTCAGGCACAAAGATGCTTTCTAAACAGCCACCCAGCATTGCAGTAGAAGGCTTCAGATCTTCTGAAAAGATATGGAGTAAAAGGTGAGGGGGCTTAACTTTGTGTTTGGTGCTGAACTGTTCAGAACCAGAACCAGAGATCACTGGAGTCCCTGCCTGGGGTGTCACCTGGTGCAGGGAGGCAGGGCTTCTGGAGTGTGGGCCCAAAAGGGCACTCCCCCACCTCACCCCTGCGGCATGTAAAATGGTACCATGGAAGTGAGGTGGGGGCACATTTGATCCTCTTAGTAGCCCCCCGGCATTCTGAGTCTCATGCGGGCATTGCTGTATGGGACCTGGAAGACAGCCACCTCCCCACCCTGCCTTCCAAGTCCACATGGCCATAGCTGCTCGAGACCTTAGAGACAGCCACCCACTATCCCTGTGGTGTACTACCCCACCAGGTGACACCCTTCTCTGGGGTGTTACTCAGTATGATCCGCACCACCACACATCCCTAGTGATGCCACTGCCAGAGATTAGGGTCTGCCATTTTCAGACTTTTTCAGATTTCCCATTATGAGAGATGGGGAGATGTTTTATTTGGCCTGTGTAGACAGGGCCTTTGCCTGGTTAAGTTCCTCTTCATTTCCCCAATGCTGATGTCTTATGTAACGTGACTTCCGTTACTCTGTCTTTCATTGTTCCGTCTGCTTCAGTTTAAAGGATCCTAAAATAGGGATGGAAATATTAAAAATATATTTTATAAATGATTGAAAATGGGTTTCTTGAGTGCTGGGAAATTCTGCCAAGGAAAATCATAGATGGGCAAGAATCTTGATGGTTTGAGATTTATTCTGGTTGAAAATACATATGGGTTTTTCTGCAAAAAAAATGATACAGTGGGCCCTTGTTTTACACAGTGGATCCATTCCAGACCCCATCATGTAAGTGAAATACCATGGGACCTCAAGTCCTGATGATTTCAATGACGGCATGCTCCTGCACACTGTGCTGTGTGCACTCCACAGGCCCATGCACCATTAAGATGGCAGGGGATTGCCATCTATGTGAACTTGAGTCGATGTATGGCAAGCCTACGTACAGTGTGGGCGCACTGTATTTTGTACAAAAAATACCATTCTTTTGTGCAAAAAATAGTCTTCAAAGAAAATAAGTTTCCTACACAGAAAATAATATTAAATTTTACAAATGCAATTTCCCACACAGGAAACTTGTTTTCTGGAAAGAAAATGCCATTTTCTTTGCAGACCTCCATGCATGTGTATATATATATATATATATATATATGAAGGGGTATCATAAAATTTTAATTATCGCCTTTAAAAAAAATGGACAGAAAGTTTGTTTTGATTTCTAGTTGTTAATGTATCTCTACATAGTCACCACCCAGATTTACACATTTCGGCAGCATTTCTTGACCTTCCAAATACCGTTATTGTATAATTAAAACTTTACAATACTTGTATGTTGGTGTTCTTGCACAAAATAAGCTCTAAATGGGAAATTGTTTTCAAAAACTGGACAGTTGTCAATTACATTCTCACAGGAAAGAGAAAAAGTATAAAATTATTAATTCTTGCCTGCAGGAACAAAAATTATGAAAATGCATATCTCTATCCTAGATGTGGGATCTTTTGTGCCCATAAATTCCCACACTAAAATGCTTGGAGCAACTCTAGTAAGAATGTTTTCATGAGCCCACTAAAAAAATTGTGTA